CAGATGTTTTTCTCCGTTTCGCTCTTGGGGATAAAGTCATTATAAATCCAAACTCAACTAAGCTAAAATTTAGAGGTTTGATAATTTTTGAACACTCATTTACTTCGTAAATTCATAATGATACTGAATCATAACGCATTTGTGGAATTTTCAAATCCCGAGAATTTATTGGTGTCTAATGCGTTTTTGTCTGAGATAGGGCTAAAATTTCGCGGTTTTTGAATAATTTTACCAAAAAATTATGACGTTTTTGCAAAAAGAAGAAATGTTTTGTATAGAAAATTTGCACTATCCAACAGCTGCTCGGTCTTCGGCACATAAAACTTAGAAAAGCAAATATTGACCAGCACCATGTGTCGCAGTTTTCGGCAATTTTTATTTTTTAAGGGCCCTTTGGTTGGTGCAGTATGTATAGAGGGTGTTCCAAAGGTAATTACATAATTTTTGGTCGTTAGTGACTTTTTCCACCGGGTTTTCGGCTCTTTTAGTACTTATTCTGGGACATTATGTAAGCCACAGATAGCTCAAAGCCCCTCCAAAGTTCCTACCGTGATCCTACAGTGATGAAGGGCGCTGTTTGATTCGCATCATAATGTAAATTTGAATTTAGGCCTCCTCTACTGAGTGGTACTTGAAACTAAAGAAAATACTCAAAGGGAAAAAAGTGATGACGATCAAAAAGTGTGTACTAACTTTTGGGAAACCCTGTATTACCGTCTGAGACATGGAAATTCCCGTTGATGCTATCTATAACGTTTATAAATCTACATAACGCGAAGATTCTATGTTGAGAAAGGGAAATTACTCTTGGAACGACCCAGTGTCTCTATTGTAACAACATTGATCGTGTTGTGAGATAATATAGCCTGCAAAAATTAGTTGACCTTGAAGAGGCGAAGTTACGCTTTTAGTCTTGAGTTAATAAGTAGATTTGAGTTGTGCTTTGTTTAATTTGTACGTTGGAAGGCATTGTTGTAAGGATTTATTAATAGAATACGCAGTTTCTAGATTGGGCGGACAATTTTTAGACAGGAACCCTCTAACAAAGGAACGATCCCAACTTAAGGTGGCGAATTGGTATAGACCGCATATCATTAGATGCGTCTTAATGAGCTGATTCCAAATTTGCCTTTCAATCTGCGGAGCCATTCTCTGCATGAAGTTATAAGCGTTTGAAAATGTGAAGTCACTGGGGTTTCAATGCTTAATGTCTTTCAAGATCCACATTTAGAGAGTTGACTAACATGATATTGAGTGTACTGATTTCAAGGAATGCTCACATTCAAAATAAACACAAATGAGTGTTTTTGACAACTAATTCTCGAGGTATGGCGTTGTATTATTACCAAATTTATACTCCTCATTGCTCATAGCGTTTACTAACGAACTTTAGTTACTTTTTAGTTCTTCAAAAAACTTATTTGTGTTTCTTCTGAATATGAGCATTCCTTGAAATAAGTACACTCAGTAAGACGCATTTAATGATATGCGGTTCATAACAATTCGCCACCTTAAGTTGGGATTTTTCCCTTGTAAGTTTATAGAGCGATTTGCAACTCTTCGCTCTAATGCTGTTTAATTGAGCCAAAAATAAGTACTTTACGATGAAACGAATAAAGTATCACCAGATAACATCCACAATTCGTGTTTGTATGAAATGTGAATCCAAAATCTTGAAAATTAAATTATTGGGCAAAAAAACACAAGACATCCACTCGCCTATGAGGAAAAAAAATTTCTTATCCTTGTTGCTTATTTTTGATAGCAAATACAGCATTAGTTAGCCTCTGATAGTTTGGTTTTCGTAACTCGCCTTTCGAACTTGCATGGAGGCGAAATTTGCCAGCCCAAATCGTTGGCCGTTTTTTGATAGTAAAAGAGTCCGACTAGCAATGCTATAACGTGGAACATTAACAAGTCAATTTCATAGGTCCACCTGGAGTTTTTACAGGGTGTCCCAAAAGTCTTTGAGCCTAGTATTTTTTTCAGCTGTAACTGCACGAAGCAACATTAACTACATGAAATCCAGAAGGAATCTTAGAAGAAGAACTTACAAAATAACAAGGTGCACTCAGATTTCGAAAAACCCCCATTTGGCTTTCACACAAGCACACTCTCGCGGAGCGCATGCACTGTGGCAGACAGGTAGATGACGTCGAGAATGTCTACAGCTTCTAAAACAAGCGTTCCAGACTGCCCAAAATCCAGTGTGGAACAGAGCAAGCCTTGCTGTCCATGACTATTCACAAAAGAAAGTCGAAGACTTTTAAGTGAGAGATTAAAAGCACGTTAGACTGAAAAGCGCGCCTGCGAGATTGAACAAATATGTCAAAATGTAGCATTCAAGTACTTGAGAACATCAAGAAAACAGCAATTATGGTGTACATGGATTGAATTTGAAATAATGTTTCAGTAAATAATGCAAAGGTTACAGCCAGAATTAGTGACTTAAACCGAATTGCTGTTGGAGTTTTCAGCTTTCTCGGATTTTTGTTCCCGAGGACTTTTTTCCTTATTGGTACGGCACTACTTTGAGTGTTCGTATTTTAATCCTACATTAACGAACAAAGACTACTGATTAGTTCTGCACTGTAAACGTAGAGTGAAACTAGCTCTACAATATGCAGTGCGGGATTCCGCAAGAGTTTCAAAGGCAAAAGAGGTACAGATGTTTGAATAAAGTGTACGTTTACAGTGGGTCGTCCTCAAAATAATAGTACTGTTTGCTCCAAGAACAGTATCTTGAAAATGTACGGGGCAAACGGTATGATTTTCTTGTGGAATACTAGAAATAAGATGAAGTATTCATACGCAAAATTTGACTGGTAAGCGAAAAATACTAACAAAGTTACTACGTTGGAAAGTCAAGCTTATAGACTTTTGAGACACCCTGTACTAATCTAAGCACTACCTGGCTCTAGGTAGGTACACAGGTAGGTACACATCCAAAAGTGTTGAACAGTTGCCTTAGTCAAGCTGCGTCCAGGGCCCGGCATGAGGTGGACGAATGACAAGCTGGAAATCGTTTTGGGGCCAAAAAGCAAAGGGGATATCGTTTTTGCGGGGTCCGGGACGAAGCCCCGGAAAAAAATTGGTAGTGCTCTTTGCTTATTCTAACATGTTATGATCCTCAACAGGCGAACGTTGGAGTTCGCGCGCGCCAAACCGCGCAGTGACTAATTGCCGCACGCGCGGCGTCGCTCAAACGATGCTATTTGTGACAGCAATCATGTTAGTTCTCAATGAATGCACAACTTTATGGCACAAAATTTCGTACGCGAACGAACCGAGGCTGGTGGAAACAGAGCGTGAAAAATTATGAAAAACTTATGAGAACGGAACGAGTAATAGGCAATTTTTCTAAAAATTTTGCAAAATTGGTAAATGAAGACGTAAATTCAAATGGTTCGCCTGCAACGCACAGATGACGATATGGTATAAAACTTTGTATTTTCATACGCACGGGCCTGCAGGGCTTAACTGAGAAGTTTCATTGAAAAATTATGTGACTGAAGATTGTGGCAAACCTTTTTCTGAAAATTTCCCGCTACCAAAGAAATGCAAAATGGCTCGTTTGCAGCGCAGAGGTGATGAAATCGCGCGGGACTCGGTGTGTATGTGCGAAATAGGACTAAGTAATAAAGTATGAAATATTATGAAAAACTTATGTGAATGAAGAGCGTGCTTAACTAATTTCCAAATTAGGTGGGCAATTGCCCACCTAATGCCCACCTGAGGTGGGCAAAACTCTCAATTCACATAATTTTTTCAAAATTTTTACATAAATCTACTCTACGCCTAAAGATTAGTATCATGAAATTTTGGTTTCAAACTTCCTCCTCTACCCATTGCTAGAGGCAAAAATAGCCTCAGCACCCCCGTTTCTTAAGGAGGAAAGCGCGCTCTAATCGCTACGGCGGCGTCACTCATTCCTTTAACACCGTTGCTGATTATTTACCTAAGCTTCGGATTTTCGGCGGTAGTGGTGGCTGCAAAGCTACATCGCTGATATTATCTTCGCCGTTAATGAGGCTCGTCGGTGATCCATGCGCATCAAAGTGAGATTTTTCGAGCTTTTATGATTTTATTTGATTTCTATTTAATTTCTATTCGAAATGTATACATTTGTTTGCGCTTATCACGCATAATTCTTTGCCTTTCCATTATGTCTCAACAATTTGATGTTTTTCTTTTTTTCGCGGACATCTTTTACAGTTTGAGTATTCCTAAGTTACCCATTCACTTCAATTATGTAAAGCTGGTGCCTTTGAGTTTCATTCTGCCAACAAAAGGTCCATAATGCAAAAATAGGTAAGTTTTCATTATAAACGACGTCTGTTTTACATGGAAGGGCGTATTGCCTTGATTTTTGGGCATCCATACTTCACTAAGGGTTTTTTCTGCGACGAGAAAGATGATAGTATTCCCTTCTTTCTTTCCTCGCTCGGTTGACAGCTGGTGACATCGTTCCACCCTAATAGTCCTCATATTTAAAGCGCTAATTGCTTTCCCAACCCTTCGGACTCCTCACTTTCTTGCGATAGAGTCTATTGCCTGTCTGCTTGCTATACTTATCTGTAACTAAGCCGGTAAAAACCATATTGTTGCGCTTTTTTACGCCACTTTAGCTCGCTGTTTTTTCCACATTCACTTGTAGAGAAGCTTTAGGCATGGATTGCAGAAAAATTTTAGGCATGGATTTTTTTCTTACCATTTCAAATGATATGTTTTCTTCAGAATGTGGTTCGAAGAACGTAGTTGGTCAAATTTGAGAATGTCTGAGCTTGTCGAGGAATGGAGAGATCTCTGGTCGTTCAAAGTACGTGACTTACCTTTACTTTATTCCTTTTCTTCCTTTTTTTCTCTTTTCTGTTCTTTAACTTTTCTTCAGTTGATTGGAAGTGATTGGAAAACATATTTTCAGATTGACTTTATGGTTGCTGCTCTTTCATATGTTTTCGCTACACAAATTTCTAAACTTGCCAAAACTTATCTTAAAAATGGAGGATGTCATTTCTTTGCAATTCGTCATCAAGAGCGTTCTCGAGAGCATCAATTTAGTAGCATTTGTGGCTGCCTACGGTGCTGCACTTGTTGTTCTCATACTTCCTGCAATTGTGCTCGAGCTGGCTGTAGGTCAGCTGACTGGTCGAGCATCGGTGCAGGCATTTTATCATCTGTCACCGATATTCAAAGGTTCGTGGATTTTTCTTTGCTTTTGTCGGGTGCTTTTGGAGCTTGTTATCATTTTCGTTTTTTAGGTATTATCTCAGGTATTGTTCACATTACTTGTATTAGCAACCATGACACGATTTGTGTGGTTGATACTTTTCGTCTTTCATCTATCTTGGACTATTCAAGCAGATCGACCATATAATGAAAAATGATCTGAAAACTGATTTTCAATGTAACTGAAATTTTGAAATCTACTGTTATTCAGATTGAAACCAACTGAAGAAGTATGAACGAAGTATTAGAGAGTTTTCCAATGGCTGCAACGCATTTCTAGGCTAATTAACAAGGGGGCGGAGCGATCAGCGCACCGCGTACGGTACCCAGCTGGCGGCTGGCACATGCTATCGTTCATCTTGACTGCCACCCGAATATTACGCATAATTCATACTCTATCGTTGTAGATAAATTACCATGACTACATAAGTGGTGGAATTCGATTGAATCCAAAGGATTTGCTTGCTGTCTCAAGTCAGTCTGAGATACAAGACAACGGTGAGATCAACTGCACTCTATCGAATGGTTGAGGGGTGACGACTTGGTGTTACGTGCCGGGTACAGGGGTTCGAGTGCTGGTGCTTACTGTTGAGATAATCATCCTTGCGCTGCGAGCTGTGTATGGAGTAGTTGAGGACGTAGTCAACAGGACATATGCTCTGATATGAAGACAAACAGCGGTGTACAGCGTTGGCCTCTGAAGCAAAATTGCTCCCGCAATTTCTTTTTATTCTATTAGGTTGTCCGGAAATTGATGCAGGTTTTGAATTCCAACCGCAATAAATCATACACTTCTCACTTCTAAGTAGGCTGCATAGCATCAGTTTGACAGATGCACGAAAATTTCCGTTTTCTTGATTTTTTAACAGAGAAAAAATACGGCAACGGCGTGTATAGATGTCCGATGTGGAGTGTGTTTACGTGAGCAAGTTAGGATTTTTGTAGAATTTTTATGAACTGAGCAACGATTTATCTCAATATTTCGGGCGGTTGAATCTTTTTAGTTTTTGGCTCGAAACTCGTGGTGATTCAGAGCCGTTGTTAAAGCAAGACAGCCATCTTGTAGAGCTTGCTTTGCTCTACTGAAAGGTATCTTGCAGCCTACTTAGAATTGAGAAGTGTATGACGTATTGCGGTTGGAATTCAAAACCTGCATTAATTTCCGGACAACCTAGTAGTTTCGCAGTTTACTCAAAACTTGCTATCAAAACTTGTTACATTATAGTGTCGCAGGTTTGAAAATATGTTAGTAGGATTACTAGAGTTGAGAGTGAGTGAGAAGACGGGAATGTGAGAAGTATGTGTGGAACTCGAGTACTTGAGGGTGAGAGGTTTCATAAATAATGAGCATACAAATGGTAAAAATCCCCTCTCCCCTCTCTCAGCTACCGGTGCAAATTTTTATTTCATTGATCTCATTGCAGAGATCCTTAGAATGTTCTCACTTGTTTTTATTCTTTGCTATTGTCATGAATGTATTTTTTTTGTTTTTTCTTCGATCAAACTTGTTCCTTGGGTAAAGTGTTCAACGCGCAACCACTGGGACCAAGTTTTGGGCCAAAGGGGAATTCGTTAAAAAGTTTTGGGTCAAAGGGGAATTCGTTTTCGAAAACCCCTTTTGCCCACCTTGTGCCGGGCCCTGGCTGCGTCGTACCTCCAAGAACCGATTATCTGCGTTTTTTGTCTTGAAAATGCTTTCATATGTATTTCGCTCCAGAAACCTGCTTGAAAAGAAAATTCTGCAGTTTTGCTGGATTGAAAGCGAGGGTTTTGATTACCTTCTAAATGCTTTTTTACGTGAGGATTGAGGAGAAAAATTTGACTTTCTGCTACTAAAGCAAATCCAATACCGACTCAACCGGGAACCTTCTCCAGCTTCTGCCCTAAAACCCTTTATGCGTCATCGTTATAACGTCAAGATATAGTAGAAGCATTCCTTACACAAGAATAAATCTGTCCGTCTTGCTTCTTTTTCGAAACATGAATTGTGCAGATTAATGATGGCGTTTCTCACTTCCAAAATAGTCTAAGTGCTACCTCAATAAGTTTTTTGACAATATTATTCACTAGATAGTGGATACAGCTTGTATTGTATGATGATTCTTTCAAAAGATTTGGTCAGAGAGCTACAATTAGCGTTGGTGCAATCAGTTTCTGCAGGGTGATTTCCGTAATCCTAGTTGAATGCTAGAATCTCTAAAAAGCAGTGACTATGAAATACGCACTCTTTCTTGTAAAGACAATGCTTTTACTTTATAATGCTTTTGAGAACATTGTAGAAGAAGTTTAGAGGCAAAAATTTGAGCTCAGGATTGCAGTAATGTCTATGTCGGATTAGCTCAAGCAGCAAAAAGTCAAATTTTTGCTTCAGTGCTTATGTCAAAGGCATCCAGAAAGTAGATGAGACCCCGTCGCTTCCAATCCAGATGAGAAACTGCAAAATTTCCTACTGAAAGCAAGTTTTTTAGGCGAAATACATATGAATGCATTTCTCAAGACAAAAAAGCAGATAATCGGTTCTTTTGGAGGTACGACACAGGACTAAGGCAGCTGTTCAACACTTCTGAATGTGTGATTACCTGAAAAAAAGTCGAAGCTAGAAAGTGCTTCACTTACTAAAATTCCAAGTGGACCTATAATTTTGACCAGCCTTCAAACCTGCTTTTTTCAAAATTTTTGATTTTTCTTGAATAACCAAACCAAAACGAGAACCGTCTTGTTAGCTGACAGTAGACTGGTATACACACGGCTGTATCAGATTTGGACCATTTCATTGAAAACACAGCGAGTTATGACATTTTTTAGAGTGAACCTATAATTTTGTCCAGCACTGTATAAAAAATTCATCTAAAGAAATGCCCTCAGATCCTGTTTACTGGTGCATGTGAAGATCAATCAATCACAGCTTCGAAATATTTACTACGAAAAAGTCTTCAAATTATATGCGCATAGCAACAAATATCTTCTTTACTTTATTGTTTACTTATTTTATTCTAGTACACACGTAGACAACGTCAGTGGAAACTTTTTTCCGGAGAAGGGCGTAGAGTAATTTTAGATTAGAAAACGCACCGAACGAAGTTGGGGTGTTGTACATTCCAGACGCGACTCTTTAATAATGTTGCAGCTCCAAAATCACCGTAAGTTTTGGTTGGAGGTACTATCACATCAACTCAGATAATCGCCGAAGGCAGGCGGTTCCGCAAATTCGCGTTCTGCGGCGGTCAGCAGAATTTCTCCAGCGGGCGACACTTCCTTTACGGTCGTATATTCTGAAAGCGGGCAACAGTACAGCATTGCAAGTGATCGTCAAATAATTTCTCTCAGCTTCGGGTGTACGCCGAGAAAAGGTGAAACTCTATGTGGCAGAGGTGTCTTCAATGGTTTGATTACCCAAGTTTGGGGTACCCTCTCTCAGCGGAGGGTACCTATCCACAGAGAAACCGCATAGTTCCACGAACGTTCGTCCAAAAATGGGCCAAAATTATTCCAAATTTCTGCAAGCGGACCGCAAGAGATCAGCGAACTATTTTTTCCGGTGCCCGCTTGCTCGAAATTCGCATGGCCGCCTGCCCCCGGCAATTATCTGAGAATGAGTTGATCAGGGTTTCGGTTGTTGTTTTCTTCAATGAAAATGACAAACTTCAAAAGACTGCTCAAGTTCTCACGATAGCAGCCTAGTATATCTTCTTCTAACTTTACTAGTTGTATTGATCAATAAATAGTAATATCTTCTGACACGTTGCCGAGTTCTTTTGACATTATCTAGTTGTCTTATATATTTTAATCGTCTTGCAAAAAAAACACGTCCCTTTTCAGAAACTTTAGCGTAAAGTATGTTGCAGAAGATTGGACTCCTCATTGCTACACACTCTCAACGCACAGCCATAGATTTTGAGATATCTAAAGTTTAAATTTCAAGAATGATCAAATTCAGTCAATTAAGGAGAATGATGTTTTCGCAATTTTTCGCTTACTATTGTATCACAAAAGAAGCAAAATGAAAAATTGCGCGTATAATTAGTTGATGTGAGAGCATAGCCTAAGAAGTTTGAGTTTGTGTGTTATTCCCAGGCCTTTTTATATAGATTAGGCTTTTTTGCGGATTTCAAACAGCTCTTGTAGGGCTTAATTGCTCTATCGAATAGCAGGTTACTTTAAACTAGTAAAAGAACAGGGCAAAAACAACTGTGGATTAGCTTATGAACCCGCACATACAGTGCTGGACATAATTATAAAGCCACTCTAAAAATCGTCGCAATTTTCGTTGTTGTCAAGGAATCTGTCTGAAACTTTGCTGTATTGTGCGCACGTCAACCTACCATGACCACTCGAAAACGGCTTCCAGTCTTGTTGAGTTTGAACGGAGAAAATCCAAAAAATTCGAAAAAGCCCTCTTTGAAAGCTGGACAGAATTATAAAGCCACCTGGTTTTTCTAATCACTATTGCATTCCTTGGCTCCCAAATTTTTTTTGTGGAATTACACCCTAATATTTGAAACATTTGCAACATTTACGGCCTGTCATTCTACTCAAATAGAAGCGATCACTGCATTTTTTGCTTTCAAAAGCATCAAGAGTCATTCTGCTTTAACAAGAAGCTGGTTTAAAGAGTTTTCAAGCTCTTGTTCATTTCAAATAATAATCATGGAATCTACTGACCCTCTTGGATAGATGAAGTGAAAGCGTTTTCGTAAACTCTGCGTAATCGCTGATTTTGACGGGCAGACTCCAACCTCACCATAGGGTTGACGCACTTTTGCACCACAAAACTCGATTTTCAAGCGACAGAAAATACTGTAATGTAGCCATTACACGACAGCCATACCAGTGAACTCGTGTGCATGACTGGGAAAAAATTTCGGGATTGAGCACTCTGGTTCAGCCGCAGTTGACACCCACTGAATATTGAGTGGAGCACCCTGCACAATCAAAGCCAACTCAGATCACCAGATAAAACCGGAGACGCTCAAAACTTCAAAATCCTAGCTAATTCCATTCATCGGGTGAAATAGACATGAAACACAGAGGGAAAATAAGAGAAAACTAGGGTTATATCGAATTTTTTGCTCGCAGCGAATTTTTGTGAAAAGTATTTCAGGTCTAAATCGCTACCGCATCATTAGGGAAAATCTGAAATTGTTGCAA